GGTACTGGTACCAAAACAGGCGGGTGGACCAATGGTACAGAATAGAGGACACAGAAACCAATCCACAAAACTACAACTATCTTATATTTGATAAAGGGGCTAAAAGCATGCAATGGAGGAAGGATAGCATCTTCAACAAATGGTGCTGGGAAAACTGGAAATCCATATGCAACAAAATGAAACTGAATCCCTTTCTCTCGCCATGCACAAAAGTGAATTCAAAATGGATCAAGGAGCTTGATATCAAATCAGAGACACGCCGTCTGATAGAAGAAAAAGTTGGCTACGATCTACGTACTGTGGGGTCGGGGTCCAAATTCCTCAATAGGACACCCATAGCACAAAAGTTAATAACTAGAATCAACAAATGGGACTTACTCAAACTAAAAAGTTTTTTTCTCAGCAAAAGAAACAATAAGAGAGGTAAATAGAGAGCCTACATCCTGGGAACAAATCTTTACTCCTCACACTTCAGATAGAGCCCTAATATCCAGAGTATACAAAGAACTCAAAAAATTAGACAATAAGAGAACAAACAACCCAATCAACAAATGGGCCAAGGACCTGAACAGACACTTCTCAGAGGAGGACATACAATCAATCAACAAGTACATGAAAAAATGCTCACCATCTCTAGCAGTCAGAGAAATGCAAATCAAAACCACCCTAAGATACCATCTCACTCCAGTTAGATTGGCAGCCATTATGAAGTCAAACAACAACAAGTGCTGGCGAGGATGTGGGGAAAAGGGTACTCTTGTACATTGCTGGTGGGACTGCAAATTGGTGCGGCCAATTTGGAAAGCAGTATGGAGATTTCTTGGAAAGCTGGGAATGGAGCCACCATTTGACCCAGCTATTCCCCTTCTCGGTCTATTCCCTAAAGACCTAAAAAGAGCATGCTACAGGGACACTGCTACATCGATGTTCATAGCAGCACAATTCACAATAGCAAGACTGTGGAACCAACCTAGATGCCCTTCAATAGATGAATGGATAAAAAAAATGTGGCATTTATACACAATGGAGTATTACTCTGCATTAAAAAATGACAAAATCATAGAATTTGCAGAGAAATGGATGGCATTAGAGCAGATTATGCTAAGTGAAGCTAGCCAATCCCTAAAAAACAAATGCCAAATGTCTTCTTTGATATAAGGAGAGTAACTAAGAACAGAGTAGGGTCGAAGAGCATGAGAAGAAGATTAACATTAAACAGGGATGAGAGGTGGGAGGGAAAGGGAGAGAGAAGGGAAATTGCATGGAAATGGAAGGAGACCCTCAGAGTTATACAAAAGTACATACAAGAGGAAGTGAGGGGAAAGGGAAAAATAATACAAGGGGGACAAATGAATGTCAGTAGGGGGGGCAGAGAGAGAAGAGGGGAGGGGAGGGGGGATAGTAGAGGATAGGAAAGGCAGCAGAACACAACAGACACTAGTATGGCAATATGTAAATCAATGGATGTGTAACTGATGTGATTCTGCAATCTGTATATGGGGTAAAAATGGGAGCTCATAACCCACTTGAATCAAAGTGTGAAATATGATATATCAAGAACTATGTAATGTTTTGAACAGCCAACAATAAAAAATAAAAAAAAAGTATTAGTTTCACATATTTATAAACATTTATTAAAAATATATATACAGGATAAAAAAAATCAGCATACAAAACTCAATAGCTTTCCCAGACACCAATAATCCACAGAGGAAAAAAAAAAAATCAGGAAAACAATCCCAAACACAATAGTTTCAAAAAACAAAACCCAGGAATAAATCTAACCAAGGAGGTAAAACTGAAGAAAGAAATTGGAGAAGACACTAGAAGATGGAAAGACCTCCCATGTCCACGAATAGACAGAATTAATATTATTTAAAATGGCCATACTACTAAGCATTATACAGATTCAATGCAATTCCTATCAAAATGCCAAGAACATTATTCACACAATTAGAAAAAACAGTTCTGAAATTCATTTGGAAGAAAAAGACCCAGAATAGTGAAAAAATTTTTAAGCGGAAAAAAAAAAAAAGCAATGCTGGAGGCATCACAATACTTGACTTCAAATTATAATGAAAGGGCTATAGTAACAAAAACTGGATGGTACTGACATAAAAACAAACACACAGACCAATGGAACAAAATAGAAGACACATCCCAAATACAGTCACCTGATCCTTGACAAAACACAAAAAACATTTGTTGGGAAAAAAAACTTTTATCCTCATGTAGAATGAAATTAGACTCTCCTCTTTCAACCCTGCACAAGTCAACTCAAAATGGATCAAGGACCTCAGAATTAGAAAAGAAACTTTCCAATTTCTAGAAGAAAACAAACATCAAATGAACGTTCTAACATATAACCTCAGGCAACTTCAACAGGGCTCCTTAAGCTCAGGAAATAATATCAAGAATAAATGAAGAGAATCAAATTAGAAAGTTTCTGCACAGCACACATGTTATTGAAAACAATAACATGAAAAGAGAACCTACAGACTGAGAGAAAATCTTTGCTAGCTACTCTTTGACATATAATTAATATCCAGAATATATAAAGATTCAAAAAACTTAACACCCAAAAATCCCTAAACACACAATCAATAAGTGGGCAAATGAACTAACAGACACCTTTCAAAAGAAAAAATATAAATGTCCAACAAATACATGAAAAATGTTGAACATCTTTAGCAACCAGGAAAATGCAAATTAAAACTATACTGAGATTCATCTCACTCCATTTTGAATGGCAGTCATCAAGAATATAAATAATACATGCTGGAGAGCTGGGGTTGTGGTTAAGTGGTACAGTGCTTGCCTTGAATGTGTGAGGCACGTGGTTTGATTCTCAGAACCTCATATAAATAAAAATATAAAGGTCTATCAACAACTAAAATAAATAAATAAAATTTAAAAATAATAATATATGCTGGAGAGGATGGGAGGGCTGGGGAAAGAAACACTTTACACTGTTTACTGTAAATTAGTATAACTACTATGGTAATCAGTATAGAGGTTCTTAAAAAGAGTAGCAATGGAATCACCATATTACCCAGCTATACCACTCCTTGGTATTTATCTCAAAATATTGAAGTCACCATACTACATCCATGCCCATGTTATAACAGTACAATTCACAATAGCCAAATTATGGAACCAGCCTAGTTGTGTCAAAAGATGAAAGGAAAAAGACAATGTGGTAATGTATACACAATGGAGTTTTAGTCAATCATAACGAAGAATGAAATTCTGTCATTTACAGAAAAATGGATAGAACTTGATAGCATTAAGAAAAATAAGCCACTCAGAAAGCCAAGAGTTGTTTTCTCTCATATGAGGAAGCTAGAAAGGGGGAAAGGGGATAAAAATAAAGGTATGGGAGATCTCATGAAAATTGAAGGAAGACCAGTAGAGGAAAGGGAGCAGGGGAGAGAAGTAGGAGGGGAGGAAAAAGGGAAATACTAGGGAACAACACTAACCAAAACATATTTTTATCTCATGTGCACGTATGAATGTATAACGATGAACACTACTAATATGTATAATATGAATGCACCAATAATAAACATGCATAAAATACATACATATGTCTGCTCTTTTATTTCTTTTTTGCAGTACTGGGATTGAATCTAAGGGTGCTCTACCACTGAGCTACATTCCAAGCCTTTTTTGAAAATTTAAAAATAATTTAGAAAATTTCTTAGTGCATTATATATATACATAATAGTGGGACCAAGCTTTGTTAAAAAAAAAAAAATTATTTTGAGATAAGGTTTAGCTAAAACTGCCCTCTAATTTGAGATGCTCCTGCCTCACACTCTGGAGAAGTTGGAATTACATGCATTCATCACTTCACCTAGCTTATGTTTGCTTATTTATTTATTTTTTAAGGTGCTGGGGATTGAACCCAGGGCCTTATACATGCTAGGCAAATGCTTTACCACTAAGCTATACCCTTAGCCCTTGCTCTTTTATATACTTTATTTCTCTATCTGTGAAATGGCACAGTACTCTTAATACTATGCCTACAAGAAATAGGGGTATGATTATAATGGTTGCATTTCTGACAATGTTCAAGGAGTGGATGCTAACCATCTGAGGTGGCCTATAAACAACTTTGAATGCTCATGAAAAAAAAAAATAATTTAAAGAGGGATGGGAAAAGAAAAGACTAGAATAAATCTGACATAACTTTCCTATGTACCTATAAAAATATACCACAGGGAATCTCATCATTGTGTACATCCACAAGAAATTAATTTAAAAAAAATAAAACAGGGGCTGGGGTTGTGGCTCAGCGGTAGAGCACTCGCCTAGCATCTGCGAGGCCCTAGGTTCAATCCTTAGCACCACATAAAAGTAATAAAATAAAGGTATTGTGTCCAACTACAACTAAAAAAATAGATAAAAAACAAAAAACAAAACAAAATAAAACGAAAACAATGAGAGTGTTAAAAAATACTACGGGTAAATGACAGAAAGATCAATTGAGGGAAAAGAGCATGGGGTAGGGAGAGGGAAGGGGAAGAAGAGGTACTGAATCAGAATATAATCCATTCTTTTATAATTATGTCAAAATGGCTTCTACTGTCATGTACAACTAAAAAGAACCAATTATTTAAAAAAATTGAGAGCTGGGGGTATAGCTCAGTGGTACAGCACTTGCCTAGTATGACTCTGGGCTCTATTTCTAGCACTGTAATATATGTAAATAAATGAATGAGTAAAAGTAAAAGAAATAATGCTATATTATGAGCACATTCATTCATGTTTTTCAATATTTTTCAATAACATAAAAATGCTTAGTATTCCACTTCATGGATGTATTTTTGGTGCTTCTATTGTTTTAAAACAGAAAAAACTACAGATTGGCAAGTAATTCAATAGTTGCCTATAAAACAATTATAGTCTGCATAGGAAAGGGGTTCAAATAATTAAGATTGTAACCTAACCATTTAAAGAAAAATATAATCTGTGCAACAGAGCAGTTAAATCAAACA